GCCCCTGCCTGACGCCAGGATCACGGGGCCGAACTCCTGGAAGTTCTGGCCGCCCTTCTCGTAGACGCAGCCCACGCAGGCGTTCTTCTCCGTCACGAGCTTGAAGACCTTGGCCTTTGTGATGATCCGCGCCAGGTCCGTCTTCTCCGCCACCTGCAGAACAAACACCGAGCTCTCTTCCGGAAAGGCTTTTCGGTCAGAAGAGTCCCCAGATCCCAATGGAGCTGCACATCCTGAACCAGGCCGGGGCCTGTTTTTGGATGCTACGAGGCTTTCTCAAAAAGATTTCCACAGGGCTATCTCCCCCAAATCCCAATGCCTTCTCCAGCATCTGGATCAAGGCGTAGGTAATGGTCATGCCAGGGAAGCGCTCCTCACATCGCCGTGCTGTCGAGGAGGACGGCATCTTCATGCTTGGGGTCGGCGTTGGAAGTGGGTCTTGGGGCTGCATGCACTTTGGGATTCTGAGGTAGGGGGTCGGGGTCATGCTCCAGAGGTGTGAAGCTTATAGAGAATTCGTGCTACCAATAGAGGCCGATATGACGGCATCCGTGTCTGAGATCTACAGCAGTTGAAGGACAAACTCCTAGCAAATCAGTGGAAAGATTTGCGAAAGCAACATTTGCGGTGCCTCGTGCATGCCTCATAGGCCGGAAACAGAGCCCTGAAGCATCAAGAGTTAGAAACACCTGAACCCTGAATCGGAACCATAAGGGCACATTTTGCACCCAATCAACGAGCCTGGCTCGGAAACTCTGCGAGGCCGCCAAAATTTTGAAATGACATGTTGGCTGAGACATGCAAGTCCGTAGGCCACGACTCGACAACCCGTTTCCAAAATTCCTGTGCACGTTAAAGCCCAAAGTGAAAGCCCAAGCCCTGAAGCTTCAAGACCCCTCAACTAAACCTCTTGCCGACCCAGGCCCCAAGTCTCAAGACCACGAAAAGGACCCTTGATCGTGAGAACCCCGAGGACACTCTGAAATCTTCAGCCGTAGAGAACACGCAACTGTCCTAGGAAACCGCCGTCCTTCCCGCGGTGTGTCCGGGGCTGGGAGTGGCCACCCAGGCGGGCGACCAAAGAGAGGTCCAAGTTGAATTTGTCTACCAGCCAGTCCTTGGCAAGCTCGGCTCCTCTTAACTAGGGAATTTAACGTCCTCCATGTTGTGGTGTCCACCTGCCTCTTGTGTTTGGCTGGGATTCTCGATAGCAGAGACTTTGTGTTAAGGAGCTAAAGGAGTTTTGATGTTTAAGGACCCTGAATGCCTCTTTTGCAGGGTCCTTTGGAGTTTTCGAGACTTCAACAATTTAGGCTTGGGATGGGCTTGGGTTCTGCCTTAGGCCTTACATTTAAGGGTCGGTGGCTTTGCAGCTTTGGGAACAACAAACATCTCAGGGCTTCGGAGGGCTGTGGGGCTTGGGAAGCAAAAGATGGACGTGACAAACCTGAAGAGTTCCATTTCGGATGGAAGCGCTCTGAGGCTCGGACAGCTGCACCGCAACAGCTCTTACGCCCAGGGCTTAGGGTCCAGGGCTTGAGCAGCGCTTCAGGCCAAGAGGCTTCGACTTAGAGTTGAGACCGCAGCTCCTACTGCTCGGAGCACCGCCAAGCCGCAACATGAAATTGCTGCCAGGCATCCACATCATCTGCGCTGTTCACGCACAAGAGCCTCGGAGTCAATTCGTAAAAGATGCAAACAAAGCCCTTGTGATAGCAGGAAGCCGCTGTTCCCGCATGAGGGGCCCAAGGGTTCACAACCAAGCTTGCGGGTTGATCTTCGAGCTTGGGTAATACGGCCTCCAGGCCATATGAGGCCTTAAGTTCTGAATTCAAGGGCCCCGATAGCTAGAATAGCATAGCTGGCATAGGACTACATCATATCGAATTATTCTACCATTCCTGCAGCCGGCCATTGCGGGGAACTCGGCAGGGCAGATTCCACGCGGAGGTCGGGAGTACGGGACTCAAGGCTTCGGCAGGGGCTTAAGCCTCAACGATTTAGGTGAAGGCCTGAAACCTTCAAGAATAATCTGAAAGGCCCTAGGTTGTGGAGCAAAGGAACCCGGAACCCGCGAAAAGAAGAAAGGGCGGAAGGTTAGGGCTTAGGACATGATGTTTGGGCTTTCGGATGGGTTTACGGCTCCTCTACCGTGGAGTTCTAGTTCAGGGACTGTCTTCGGTTGCTTTTTAAAGTCTCACACAAGTATAGCTGATCGTGTCCACCACTCGCTGCTTTTTGCCCTGAGTTTCTCACTTGGCGAGCTCCGGCTTCTTCGCGCCGCCCTTGAGGGTGTCCTGTGCAGACTTATGCGTTTCGGGAGGCTTTTGATGAGGGGGGGCCCAGATCTTTTTGTGCTGTTTGTGCTCTTTGGCAGGTTCTGCTGTGTGCTGCCGACCTGTTGGGAGGCTCGAAGCCCGCCAAACTGCAAACCCCCGATGTGAAGTGTCTGCAGCAAGATGACGTTGCTAAAGTCGGAGGCCTGCGTGAAGATGTCGGCGTTGTCCGGGATGCCTTTGGCCTTCTGAGTCTTGGTGCCTCTGCACTTCAGGGGCCGTGTGAGACTTCGAGGCTACGACTCAGGCACCTTCAAGATCTTCTGAATAAGGCTGCAGCCCGGAGGTTTCGATGGCTCCCAATTACTTACAGAAAGCTCTGCACCCGGAATTGCCGACCTACCAACCTGAAACACAAAGCTCAAAAGCTTCCTTGACGACCCTGAAGCACTCGCAAGCCACCTACACTTATACCCTCGGCCCTCAAACCTAAAGTGACAAAGCTCTAAGCCACAATCCCAAGGCTAATTCATCATTGAACCCTGAAGAGTCCTAAACTTTGGAATCCACAAACCTTCAACAAACAGCGGGTGTCGACACCACGAACCTAAAACCTCAATCCTGCACCGGCTCTTTTCATGCTTTTGGGGCTTCGGGCATCGGGTGACTCGGGTTGCGTTTGCAGACCGGCCTGCCCCGTTGATACCGGAGGTCGCTTTGGTGCTGTTGCCGCCGCAGAAGGACGACTTGTCCTCCATGGTGCGGACAGCTTCAGGTTGAAAGGGAGGTCTTGCATTTTGCCGAATCGCTTGCCCAGGGCTCGAAAATATGAGTGCTTGAGTTTTCACGGCTTGTCAGGGTTCCGGGGTTCACATGGACGGAGGAATTTGCGGACGATTCAAAACGATTCAACTGCTCGAATACACAAGATTACACTACCCAACTAGCTGAAACATGAAAACTAAACGGGAATGGCAGACGTAAGCTCCAAGCTTGTCTCTGCTCTTCTCTGCTCTGCTCTTCTACTCTCCGCCTCGTTGGCAAGACCTGTCTTAAGTCTGATAAGCAAACTGCTCAAATATCGCTTGCTACCGGCGAGTTGCTCAGAACTGTCGGATTATCGAATTGCATGAGCGGACCACGTACGGCGTACGGAAAATCGGAGTTGAGGATTCAAGATATGATTTCAGCTTGGATTATATGGTGCAATTTGGATTTTTTATGTGCATGCGATGTACAGGACATGAGCTTCGGGTATGACTCCCTTTCTACGGTACACTGCGGCATTTTCGAGGCCCTGGCCAGCAGTACCACGCGACCGCCATGCTCAACCACAGTGTTGGCTGCAGACATTCCTGCCCAAGGGCGGGAATCAGAAAATGCACGCTCCTACTATCATTTGCTAATGTCCCCTCTGTACTACTACCGCCGCTAACGCTAACAATTCCGCTGCCGCTGGTGCTGCTGGCTGGCTGCTGGCTGCGGCTGTGGTGAGACAGATGGAGACGATGATGATGACGGTGATGGCGATGACGAATTTATGAGGAGGATGACGAATATGATGATGATGATGATGACGATGATGATGCTGGTGATGGCGATGGTGATGGTGATGATCATGATCGTGATGGACGCGGACAACATGTATATGACACCGCCACCGCTGCCGCCGCCCCCACCGCCACCACCACCACAACAACCACCACAACAACAACAACCACCACCGCCACCACAACCAGAACCACAACCTCAAGCAGAAACACAACCACAACAACAACCACCAACGCCGCCGCGGGCTCACCTAGGACCCTTTTGAAGTTCTGTAGGGCTAAGGTGCCTTCAAGCTAGAGCTGCACAGGACGCAGTAGTCTGTGCAATGAGGGAGCTTGGGTTTTGGACTTAGGGTTTCGGCTTCCGCTCACGAAGCTGTTTTAATCCCACAGGCCTCCCAATCCTCCTCCGACGACGATGGCTTGATTGGTTGGAAAAGAAGACGCCATGGCCGCCACAAAATCTGGCAGTTAAGCGGTTTCTGAGGTAGGGCAGATATTCAGGCAAGTCAAGATCACTAGAGACTCTGTATCACGCAGATTGCACGTACGGCCTGTAAGAGTCCTGCACCTTGAACCTTAAGCCATCCACACCCGAACCACGAAATCTAAATCCTGTAAACCCTTTTGCAATCCTAGATCCTAAACCTTCAACCCTAAATCTTGCACCCTAAATCTTGCACCCCGATGCCGATCTTTGCCTCTCCATGATTTAGCCAATAGGACAACCCAGATGTAGATTGCGACAGGATAGATCTTTACTATAAGGAGATCAAGGCATCCCTTAACTTGAAAACCCTTGTGAAACCCCCGCACCGTGGTGCTGTCCGCCTCCAACCACCCAGAACGGCTTCAGCTTTAGGGTTCGGGAGCTGAAGATTTAGGGTTAGGGTTGCGGACTCATTGAAAATTGCTAAGGATTTGAAGCGACAGAAATGTTGAAATAGAACCCAGCTGCTTGTCGAAACAATGTTGACCTTGCAAGCCCAAAGTCAGCTCAGGCAAGTTCTTCATAATTTCGAGGCCCGGCACCTGCTGTTGCCAAGCTTCAGCGAGGGGATATCCGATGACCTTCCGGGAGTGGGGCCCTGAGCGCCCTGACTTTGTTTGTCTTCCATACTCTCTCACTAGCACTTTCGTGATCGCTGCTTCAGGCACCGCTACTGCCGATGAGGCTCTACGTGCGCCACATCGACGCTTCATGATACTTAGCCTTATCTCACTTATTACCATGCTGCACTGCGCTACTTTGCACCACAGCCGCAATCCAATGGTTTAGGGCCCTGGAAGCAGCCCCGGCACCTTCTGCGTCACCGGAATGTGAGACACCCCCCGCGGGAACAAAAATGGCTTCCGGCACAGCACTCGTAGGGAAGGTGGTGCCAAGAATTCTGCGACGTGATTCTTCAGGATTCAGCTTAAGGGCTGTGTCTCGCCTGGCTGAAGAAGAGAGAGGGGTATTCTACGGATTTTGAGGACTTGTCACGGTGAAGTCTGCAGGTGGCATGCCCTTGACTTCTTTGCAGACAAGCGATTAAGGACTTGGAGAACGGGTGGCCAAAGGCTGAAATCTACGCCTTAGACTGCAGGGTGGGGGGTTCTCCTTGCTTCAGGGCTTGAAGCACGAGGTCCGGCAGTGAGAACCTCTCCCCGAGTTCAGGGCTTGAAGTGCGAGATGTGGAGTGCAGTACAACTACGAGAGGCGTCTACTCAAAACTTCTGGCCTTTTCCAGTTGTCAAGCGGCGTCTGAATCTCAAAGCAGGATGTGGAGCTCAAAAATATTTTTTCACACAATTGGTACAGCCTTATGACAGAGAAGGTACTGGTTGCAGTTTCCATGGAGCCCACAAAACGGCACCACATGAAGTCCCCCTGCAGGATTGTTTGGCTCTACTCTACCACCCCAACATCTAGAATGTAAAAACTAACCTCAGATCCTAATTGGACCCTAAACCCAGATTCTTAACCCCACTGACCCTGCATCCCAAACCCTAAACTGAACAGCCCCAAACCCCAAACTTCCCTAAACGCTCGAATGTTCCACCATTCGCGCGGCTTCCCTGTGAAACACGCGGGCCAAGTGTGCAAGTGGACCCGAAGGAATATGGCACAGGTTCCCAAGAGCCCTCAAGACTGTACCGGGGCCTGGTAAGGATCCGCTGGAAAAAGGCGGGAAAACCGAGTCTTTAAGCACGTGGAATAAAAACCCGCCTAAACAGAGAGGGCCCCGGCCCAGGGTGCGGCTAAGCCGCCCCCCAGCACAGGCGGGCGAGAGAAATGAAGCCCCTGTGAAACCACCGAGGCCCGGCCACCACGGGGCTCCTTGGGAGCCCGGGAGGCTTTGAAAGGCCGAAAAGAAAAGCTGCAGTGCGGAGATGGGCTTCATTCAGCTGAAACTTGTGGCTTCAGGGGCTTACTGTAGGTGTGTCAACGCTTTGGTGGTTTAAACCTCAGGCCCGGAATAGACCCCGAAACCCTGCACAATAGTTTCCTAGAAGCCTTCCTCAGGGCTTCCAATTGGGACGCCCAGAAGTTTCGTGGTTTAGAAAGTAGGTGCAGTTTCAAATCACTAGACCGCAGGAGCAAAGACTGGATGCAAACTGCTTTGATTGAGTTGAACGTTGTAGCTCATTCCGAAGACGTAAAGCCCAAACCCTAAAGCCCGATATGCGGGACCGCAGGAAAGCAAGTTGCTTCACATCTGTATTACATCGGCATCTTCTTCGTGCTCGTTCGAGACGCACGACCTTCAAAGGGCTTGAGCAACGGTTTAGCGCTTTGGGTTACAGAGCCCGGGGTGTTGCTTTCTTAGGCTTTCGGGTTGATGGAGATGCCAGTTCTATGGTGGGTCCCAGAGTCACCCACTGGTCATTAGACATTAGACGCATAAACACGTTTCAACAACCACCCGACGCATCTGAGAGCAAAAGGCAAGCCAAACCCTAAGCCCAAAACCCCAATTAAATCCCGAACCAGCCTGGCTAAAGCCAAAAATGCCTTAAGAGTGCCTGAAGGGTCAAAACAAGGATTCGATGTGCTGCGAGGCCAGAGCAAACCCACTGGACCCCTTCATGCAAAGACCAGAGCTGAAGGGTGCAAAAGCCGATTTTATAGACGGCAGTTGGGGCGCAGCAATGGTAGTAGCAGTCGCAACAGCAGCAGCAGTAGGCCCAGACTACATGAATAACAGTCTCTGTAGAAGAACTAGAATCAAGTCATCTCGCGAAACCTCAAAGAGGCCCCGTGGGGCCGGAGGACTTCCTCCGTTCTCAACGCCATGTCGCTGTCAGACATCAGGACCTCCAGAGAGGGTCTGCTTTGGGGCTTTAGGTTGTAGGGCCTCAGAGCTTTAGACGTTTGGTTTAGGGTGTTTCAAAGAGGGTGTGTGCTTGTGCTAGAAGTGGCTAGAACTTAGGCCCCGAAAACACCCCGGCTAGCGAATCCTTTACAAAGAAGGGGAGAGAGTCGCTTGCGAGCCGGTCGGGTCGGAAGCCAGGAAACTTAACAACTATCCACAGGAGACTCAATGTTCATGAGGTCTGGAAGACTTCGAAACACAGCCGGTGCGGCCTGGAGATGAGATTCCAGGTGTTCGATCAGGCTGCCGAAAAGCTCCTGAGAACTCCAGCTTTGGGTCTGGGGACTCCGGTGTAAAGGTTCGAAGGAATGTATGGATGCTTGTAAACGGCTTCAAGCGCGCTTTAGGAGCCTTTCTAGGGGCTGTAGTGTTCAGGGTTTGGTGCTGTTCGTGGTTGTTGCACTTTCGAAAGGGGTGAGGAGGGTGAGGCTCAGTTGGCGGACCGCCCGAACATGCAGACGAGGCCTTTGGGGCACGGCGATGTAAACTATTGTCGAACCCCGTCGAGGTGTAGAAACCTGCCAAACCCCTGAGCAAAACCTGACAACGATCGTTGCTCGCATCCAGGGTACGCGCTCTTCGATTCCGGCCTTCGTGTTAAATTGGAACCTGAGCAGTGAGCCGGGTTTGGGGGAGTTGGGGGCTTCGAGCAGAGCGAAAAGCCAACACAAGCCAACACTCCTTTGAAATCCGCCGTTCCCCAAACGCCCAAAACCCCGAACCTCAGAACCCAACAAGACCCCACCATCTGCAGGTCGAGGGCGTGGGTGGGAAGACAGTGTCCATCTGATCGCGCATGAGGCGGTAGACAAGCTGGGCTCCTTTTGGTGCCTCGAGGTTGTCCTCAGAGGAGGTAGAAAGTCTTAGGAGGATAGAGGCTTTGGGGTTTGGGGTGCAGGGTTTTGGGCAGAAGATTTCGGGCTTAGGGCCAAAGTTTGGGGCTCAAGGTTTCCCATTGGAAGTGTCTTGCAGAAGATCAGGCTCGGCTCTCCTCTCTAGGGCTGGGAGAGAAGCTCCAAGCTTCCACTCCGAGCCCTGGGCCCTCAGGGTTGAAGCTTCTACGAGACGCGGATGAACCGAGATCATCCGAGGTCAGTAGAAACACCGCACAACGTCAGGCACAAGGGCAGGAGCCTACGAAGACCAGGAGCCGCAGAATGCGCTCTGCACATGGTGTGCTCGGGATGAAAGACTGTGCTTGAAACAAGCTCATAAAGAAGGTTCTCGGTGACGGATTCACAGTTTGGGCTTACGAAATACATGCGGGTAGATAGCTCTGCACTCCCGTGGCTTTTCCGGGACACCCCAGACCCAGAAACTCTAGGCATCCAGGCCTAACATCTCACACAGTAACCCTGGAACCCCTAACCCTGAAATCCAAAAAACACCTACACCACGCACCCTGGAAACCCCTGAAGCCCCAACTCGGAGAAGCGACTTCGCCGGTTGGTTTCTGATCCATCCAGCTTCTCAACACAAACCAGACGCCAAGCAGAGGAACGACCAAGGTTTCCTGAAGGGGCAATCTCGGGCTTGGGGATGTAGGTGCGTGCGGCGTAGGGCGTAGGGATTTGGGATTAAGCTTTGGGTTTCAGGAGACCACAGGGTCTAGTCCGCATCGATTTTCGCGGGATCCTACTGAAGTACCTTGAGGTAACCTTAAGCCCCAGTTTCAACAAAAAAAGAAGTAACTCTCCAGTTCAAAGTTCTTCAACGCCGGGCCGGTTCAACATAGATTGCAATGCCTTGAAAAGGATCGAAACCCTCACGTTGCTTTCCCAGACTGTCCCAGCGGAAAACCTCTGCAACATGAAAGCTTCAACCAAGCCGACCCTACCAAACAGAACCCCGAGACCACCACCAAAAGGAACTCTGTCCTTGTCGCAGATATCCTTGCCATGGTGGTTGAGCCTGCAGCAAGTCATCTCACCGTCGAACAGCCGCACGACGTCGCGGACCCACTGCTCCTCAGCTCCGGCTGAGCTGTACTTTAGTTACGGTTTGCGGCTGGATCTAGGGAGGGTGTAGCGTGAAAGGCTTCCCAGCTTCGGGCTTGCAATTTAGACCCTTTTCCGGTGTTGGGTTTCATGTACAGGTTCGCGAGTAGGTCTAGGTCCTGTTGTCAGAGTGACTCACTCTCTTGGGGACCCACAATGAAACTGCAATCTAGAGACTACATATCCTTCTGCAATGAGTCCCCCACAGGAAGATCAGAACCAGAAACATCCAACCTGGAAGATCCCAAGCCCCAGACTCTAATACCACATGTTTCAGTTGGCCAAGCCAAAAACAACAACTCCCCACACAGAGGACCAAACCTTCAAAATGATCCCGAAGCCTTCTGACCCCTCAAAGTCCAAAGTTACGGCTTTTAGGGTTCAAGGATGAGTGGGACAGCCCTGCAGGCGCGCTTGTTGCTTAGGCTTTCAAGGTGTTGGGTTTAGGGAGCTGTGGGCAAGTTAACGTACAAGACTTCGTTGCCGGCGGCACCTCCTCCGAAAGGAATCTGTTCAAGTTTTCTTCTACGGGCCCCGACATGCCGAAAGTCGAAAGTCAAAGGCCCAAGGTTCAGGACTTATGGTTGAGGGTTTGGGGAAAAAGAGTTTAGGCTTCAGGTTTGGGGCTTCGGGGTTCGGGTTTTGGGTGTCGGGTTTCTCTTGAAAACAAACACGCTCCATCACAACGCAATCAATGCTTGCTTATCAGCCCCTACTCCCGAATCCCCGACAGCACCCTCAACCCTACACTCCAAAGTCAGGCAAGCGAAAACCCACACCCGGAATCCTAAAGCTAAAGCCCCAGGCACGAGAAGCCAAGCAGAACACCGAGAGGCGTCACCGTGAAAACTGACTCTGAGTTGAGTCGCTGTGACCGGCTCCAACCCGGTCTCGGAGGATATCAGCCTCGGAGGGCATTCGGGGCCATAGTCCGGGAGTCCAGGAGGGTTTGCCGGCTTGGGGAGCTGGGCCAGTATGGGGGGGTTGGGGCTGAAGAGCTGGACGCCGGAGAATTTCGGGAACGGGGGCTCGACTGAGCAGCAAACTTTCTGGCAAAAGCCAGCAACCACCAGACGTTGAAACCCGCTGAAACAAGACTGAGACCATGCCTTCCTTCGCCAAATCCTCTCAAAGGCTACATCCCAACTCCTAAACTCCAAACCGTACAATCTGAGAATCTGCGTCCAGCGGAAACCTTCAGCTTTGGCACTTTAGTGGTTCAGGAAGCCTGCACTCCAATGCCAAACTCGCGAACCATCTCCTTGAACCCTAAACTTAACTTAGGGGAGGCACATGGAACCCAGATCGTGTGCCGTCAGGTGCGCAATCTGCTCCATGCGGGTCCTGCTGAATCTTCAGGGTGAACGGTCTATGTAGGGTTTAGTGCTTCAGGTTTGGCCTTGGGCTCAGGGCTTTGGGGTTTGGGGATGAGGAACTCCTGTGGGTTGAAGATGAAAAGTTTCAGAGCTAGGAGCTTCTGAACCCAAGGCTTGGGCAGTTGGATTGTCCGACTCCTGGGCCATAGGTCTTGAGATTTAGGAAGGCTTGAAAGGTGAGAGCGGGGAGGTGGGCGGGCTGAGCCGGACGGGACCACTTTGATTAAATAGCTTCTATCGGAACTCTCATCTCCCGACCATGTCTATCTTCACACGGGAACATCCCACACCTACCTGAAAGCATCGGATGAAAACTCCGTCGCGTCACCAGATGGATCTCTCTTACCTGTGGAATCAAACTTCCTCCCATCACCTTGTACATTGTACAAGCGGCGGAGACGCGGCAGCGAAGCCACTGCTCTTGGAAGCTAGATCACATTGGGTTGCATGGAGGGTTCAGAAGCTTCCCAAGCCCTCCCAATCCCACACTCGTCAGTCCAGACTCTGCTTTTGTATGTCTGGAGGTTGGCCACCTGCAGAAACCAGCAGGATAAAAACTCGAACGGGCAGGCAAAGCACTTGGGATGGGCGCTCGCGGCAGCCCGAGACCCTCTTGTTTTCAAGGGTTCTGTGCTGGGGTCCCAATGAAAACGAGGGTACAATTCGGCGTGATATTATGACCCGAGAAGGGGTTGGGCCGTAGAGGTAGTTTATGACATGCTCAGCATAAATGTCGAGTCCGCGGCCTCATTGCCATAGTCCTCATCACCATCATCATCACCGTCATCATCATCGTCATCATCATCGTCGTCATCATCGTCGTCATCATCGTCATAGTTCCTGTAGTTGCCGTCTTACGAAGTATGATCATCAAATCTAAGACTATTACTACGGCCACAAGGGATCAGTGAAAAAACACAACTACAAACCAGCATCACCAGCACTAACCCTGCTGCCGCCGCCTACAACGAAAATAAAATCAACCCAACAGAATTCCCCTACATCTTCTTCATCACCCCCAATCCCCAGCATGAGTGCCGTCGGCCGTGTCGACATCATGCCCCGCTTGAAGGTCCTACTGCTGATGGACAACATCCTTGCTTTCAGAACCCTCATCCATGGGAATCATGAGACACGGCACGGTCTACTCTAGACCCGAAGCCCTGATTCTCCAAACCCGCAACCCTGCCAGCGCCTGCCCGGTCTCCGCATGCACGGAGTCCGGGGCGACGATGAGCAGCGCATCGGCGGAAGACGCGTACGTGTAGAGGGAGTTCACGGCTAGAAGCCTTATGTGGAGTCTTCGGGCTTGGGCTTTTAAAATTTTTGAGTTGTGGGGTTAAGGCCCTGGGCCTTCAGGGCTTAGATGTTTATGGTTCCTTTGTGTGGGGTTTGGAGCCGTGCATAGGGGTGGTAAAGGTTCTGAATAACTGACCAACTCATGTAGGAGGTTGGAGAAACAGGGGTTGCTCTTCAGGCAGACTTGCCAGGTTCGAGGCTTATGCTTGTGGATTTGCGGCGATCAATGAGTTTACTCAATTCCCCGACAGCTCGGGTGGGTTCGAAAGCGACTTGGGATAAGGTGGTACCTAAGGAAGCTGGCTGTTGGCTGCCCCACACTACCACACGTAATCTTTAGCCTGGCATTATAGGCCTTCTCCGGATTACGACCGGGTGTCTGCCAAGCACTCAAAGCAGCGTGTTCGATGCAAACAACCTGCACGTCCACGAGACCAACTGAAACCCGCAGCTCTGAAATGCTTCACTCAACCCCACCCTTCAGCAGCCAAGAAGCTGCACACCCTTGTGGTGCTGCGGGATGGACAGCACGTCCAACCAAACGTAGACCTGGGCTCATGCGGATTAGGACTCTGGGCTTCTAGCATCCCGTGGTTGGACGCTGCAGGCGGCAAAAGGCGAAGTGACCTGCACAGAAAAACGCTCTACCTCTGTTCGGGCCTGCCAAACTGCGGGAGGTCCGGGAGCTGGGACGGCTTGCAGGGCTATGAGTTTAGTAAACAGGGCTCGTTCGGCGCACCTCGCTTACCGTCAGCTCCATCGATTCTGCATAGCGTGCGACTGCCTGGCGCATGGCCTGCACGATGGATGAAACAATCTGTCTATGAAGTGGGTAAAGACTCTTGCTAACCCAAACACCCAGTTGGCCTGGAAAAGTGTTCAGCCCGACTAGACCCGTGCTTGCCTACACCTAGATCACCGAGTCACACAGCCTGAAGTCTCAAATCCGCGACGTTTGGGCCCAACAGTTCCACACTCTCCTTGATCAGGGTCACTTGACCTACCTTTGACCATTGTCGGTTCGGTTAGGGAGGGTGCACTTACCTGGTGAATTACCTGGTGAATCTGCTACAGAATTCGCCGCCGTAAGCTTTCGACGTAAACCAAGAATCCCAAACCCCTGAGACCAACAGGTCCCCAAGTTCGACAGCTTCGGAGGCGAATCGAAAACCGGTTACCTCCAACTTCTGAATTGCCGTGGAGTCGCCAACGCCAGAACACGCACAAAGGCTGGAGATTGTTGTGAGCTATAGTTCCCGTACCTTGCAGGAGCCTGTCCCGAACCCAGGAACCCAGGTATCAACCACGCCCGTTGAATACCTGTGGCATGCTAAACCCTGAGACAGGCCATACTTGAAGAGATCTCGAATCCCTACATCGAGGCCTTGAACCCCACGCCCTGCTGAACACGGGCTGACCTCGAACTGCGTGGCGTTGGGGCCGTGGCGGTGCCATGACAGCCACTGGTAACTCAGGAACACAATCCTGAGGCGAAGGACTCCGAGGCTCAGGGCCTACTTTCAGGGCCTTGGCTAGTGATTCCGCTGCGGTTCTGCGGTAGACTATCGCATATGTTATATGGGATGGAGAACGGAATATTACCGCCAACTCTTCGGCCTCTACATTGCTTGCAGGATCAAAGGGCTTGTCAAGCAGGTTCTGCTAGGATAGCCACAATGAAGATATCTGTACCCCAACAATAACCACCTCACTGAGCGCCTTCATCCTTTAGCTGGACGCGCAAATAGGGTGTGGGTTGGGGGTTTGGGTATTAGGCCCGAGTCATACTGTTGAAGGGGATCTCGAGTTTTCTTCAGAGTTTCAGTCGCCGACGTTTAAGCATTCAGGGCTTGAGCTTCAGACATAGGACATAGGCTTTAGTTCCTCGGCTTGTTGCGGGGCACCCTGCCAGTGGGACCAGCTTCTTTCGAATTGTGAACCTCCGCCTGAGCGCTTCAGATTCTACCTGCCTTTCCGGATTTTTGGATTTGGAATTTTGGACCTAGGGTTTTAGGGTAGGGTCTAGGTAAAGCTCGCTGAATCACCGAGAGTCCGTGAGTTCGGCTCTCGATTCCAATGCGCCTGGATAGTGGACCTCGAGTCCATATAGGTGAGGATCCTTGTTTGGCAGCGGAGCGGTCTTGAACATTTCTAGCTTTGTTGTTTCCATGAAGAAAATAATAGAGACTGGAACCTAGTAGCCATAGGGGTTCAAGCATCAGTGCTCAAGAGCACTGCTTAGGCACTTCTGCTGTTAAGCGGCTGGCTGCCCAGAACACTTCCTAAAAAAGGAGGAGTAAGAATGTGATGGCATTACATTCATTGCAAGCCGTGGGCAGAAGCAGGAATTCAATTGAGCAAACGGGCATCATCATCGCTGCTACTGCTACTGCTACTGCTACTATCACTAC